CCCAGTAGCCCCTAAAAAATAAGGGTACCCTTTTTCCTACTATTTGGGTCTATAAAGGGAACCCAAAAAGAAGAAGGGCAAAAGAGTACTACTGGGGAACCTAGGAACGAGATCTAGGTCCATCGTAGAGTCCAGTTTCACGGAATCCTCTAAACTCTCGCCATGAAGACGGAGCCGCTGTTGAAAACGCGTGGGGAAGCCATGCAGCTGATTCAGGCATTGCTTCAAACCTCTCACATCCTGTATCTGCTCCACAGGAATGCTCATCACTGTTCCCCCGGAGAGCACCCTGATCTGGAGCATCTGCATGAGCGAATTGGTCAATGCAACGAATTGCGGCAACTAGGTCCCACCCGCGAGGCTCAATGCAAGTATACAGGATTAGCGCTTTAGGGTTTAATTTGATTTTACGGTACAAGCAGGTAAGCATACAAACAGCAGCTCGGTCAGAGTCTTCTGTCTGCAGGCTATAGAGATGATACCTAATATAGGGGCCTTGATAATTTCAATGAGGGCTTTCGAGCCCCTTATACTATACATATAATGGTAAGGAACCCCAAAATATTATAGGTAGTTATTAATGCCCCTATACCTACCTTTTTGGCTGAACGGAGCCGCAGGGGAGGAGAACCCGGTAAGCCAAAATGTGCTGCTTCGCGGCAACATGAACCCGTCCACCTGGAGCTTGGGGACGGCTCGGAGTTTGGGGTTTTGAGAGTTTTTGGTGCTGTTTAAATGGTTCAAGGCTTTTGGAGTTTAATGCAAGGGTTGTACTTATAGTGTTTGGGTTCTGACCGTCCGAGATTGGTGTTGAAATTCTTTAATTACACTACCTAGTGTCCGCATTCCTCGAACGATCAAATCTGTGTATAAAGTCCACCTGATGTCGCGTTTTGGGCTTTGTCTGATATGTGGAGTATTTCATGAACGAACCCCTTCGTAATATTGTTGCCAATTTCTCTGACTTCTTCACCAGGCTCGATACTGCTGTAATATGAGCGCCCCTACAAGCATCAGTGGTGTTTAGTGGATATATGCTTCTGCTACGATTACATAGGAATTACAAGGGAACCTTACGACTCATTCTTCCGGCCACTGCAGCATATCACAGGGCTTGCGTTAGGCATCCATGCGTGCATGCCTACATCTATGCATATACACATAAAACAAATACAAGCATACACACATACAGACATACATGCATACATACAGAAATGCATACATACATTCAAGACGTGGGCACTTACTTGCATGCATACATACATACATACATACATACGTACAGAAAGACGTGAAGTACCAGAGCACTTGAGTATATATCATTACATTTATACCTATATTTAAACATTTTGTACATATATATACATATATATATATATATACAACTCAAATTATACACATAGATCGCATATACTCTTTTCGTGTTGCATTTGGTCCTTGAGGACTGAGCCCTACAAGGCCTGTAGGTACAAACATGCAGGCCTGTCACAGTTTAGGGCTTAGGGTTTAACGGTCTAGGGCTTAACAGTTTAGGGTTTAAGGTGTAGGGTTTAAGGTTTTAAAAAGGGCTTCCAGCTGCAGAGATTCAACCACCTGCAACCCAACTTTTGTAATGTAGGGGGCTTAATAATTAGAACAGGGTTTTGGGGGTTCCTTACTATAAGTATAATGTAATATACCCCAAACCCTATTCTAATCATTAAGGCCCCTATATTAGACGCTTGAAACTTTCGTGTGACCATAACCTGCACTTCCCTTGGCTACCTCAGGTCGTGAGGTTTGCGGGGTGGGGGACCACACAAGAACGCCAGTTTCGGTAGTGCAGGCTGGGTTCATGACTTGAGCGTCTGTGGGCTTCAAAAGATGCTGGGCTTATCCCGGCTTTGCCCCATTATGACGTATGACCCAAGGCCCATACAGCTGCTTATGAGGAACATCAGAACCCCTACCAGAAGGTTACTCGGGCGGAGGCTACGAAGACCCTGATTTGCCGTGCCGTTTTCGGCACCTTTCTCTCGTGTTGTAAGCTCCTAGTTGTCCTAGCATGTAGGCTAGCCAAGAACGGGGCTACAATCAAACATTCTCGGTATCAAGGTCTGGGATTCCCATCTGAGCTATCCTGCCACCTATTGCTGATAAGTGCTCAAAGACTGCCAACGATGCTCTGCGGGATTGAGATGCTACCACAAAGCTGGTGTTGCTTCTTCCGACTTTAGCCTGACCCCGAAACGATATATTTAGCAACACAGCGTTTTGTCTGCGCCAGCCTGCAGCAGTAACCGCATGACTTCTACGTGACCTTCGTAAGCTGCCATCATCAATGCTTTCGTTCCCCCATTTCGTGCCAAGTCCGTGCCAGAACCCGCCTCCAGCAGCAACCGGACAATGTCCACATGGCCTACAGAAGATACCATCATTAAAGCTGTGTAGCCTCTGCTGTCTGCCAAGCTCATGTCAGCACCGGCGTCCAAAAGCGAGCCGACGACGTCGACGTAGCCTTGCTCAGATGCCATCATCAGCGCTGTGCCGCCACGGTTCTCTGCCGCATCCTTGTCGGCCCCGGCATCCAGCAGCAAGCAAACAGCTTGGAGATGACCTTGCCCCGATGCTTTGATCAATGCTGTGAAGCCGCTGCTGTTTGTCAGATCTTTGTCGGCACCGGCCTCCAGCAGCAAGCGGACGATTTCGGCATGGCCTTGCTCAGATGCCATCATCAAAGCTGTGTTGCCGCTGCAGTTCGCTGTGTCCTTCGCGGCCCCGTCCTCCAGCAGAAACCGGACGACTTCTTCATGACCGTGACAGGATGCCTTGATCAAAGCTGTAAAGCCTCCTTTGTCTGCCAATTCTTTGTCGGATCCGGCTTCCAGCAGCAAGCGAACGATTTCGACATGGCCTCTTTCCTTAAGGGCTGAGTACCCCAAACAAACAAAGGTTCACCTTTTGTCTATGTCAGGTTTAGTCTTCCTCTAAATCTCTGCACAGTACCTCCTCAGCTACTAAGCTTCGGATGCAATCATCAAGGCTGTGCCGCCTCTCTTGGGCATGCCCTTCTCTGCGTCCTTGTCGGCACCGGCCTCCAACAGCAAGCGCACGATTTCCTCGTGGCCGTGCTCAGACGCCAAGATCAGTGCTCTAGAGCCGTCCGATTGAAGCATGTTTGGATCGTGAGGCAGTTGTAGTATGGACTCCACCTGCCAGGAGGTCGCGAATGGTCCGGAATCATCAGGGGTTCTAGGACTCGGGGTTTCCATTTGATCTAAGATCGGAAGCTAAACCTGTATGACTATATGCCCTAAGCCGTCTGCGTGAGAATCGCCAAGAGGAGATTCCTGCTTTAACAACACTTTTTGCCGCTGTATGCGATCTAGCTGCTTTGGGTCAGGTGGTGAAGGCCTATAGCGTGTGCTCGTGGGGTTGCGGGCCTGATTTCGGAGATAACCCCCTCCCCGAAGCCNNCCCCCCCCCCCCCCCCCCAACGCCTAAACACAAAGCCCTAGAGACCCTCAGAACCACCCACCTCGGCCACGGCACCTCGACGAACCGAGGATGCTAAACCATCTGCCTGTGCTTGGGAAACATCTGCAAGTGGCAGTAGAAGGAGCTCCTCGGCTGTTGGTCTTGTTTCCGACGGGCGCTTAATAACTTGATATGGCCTGGGGTATACGGGTTGAGCGGTGTTCTTTAGAAACGGATACGGGGTTCTACAAGGCTTGTTGATGTTCTTTGTAAAGGGCTATAAGGTATCACTGATTAGGGGGGGATCCGTTTTCAGCATGGTTATCATACTAGAGTACTATAGGCCTTTATGAACAGTAACCGATAAAAAACTTCGCTTTCATGGCAATCTTTCCTGTTAATTGTGGCTTACGTAAGCTCAGGTCATTCGTATGGACGTGAAACTCAAACCCACAAACACCTGCCTACAGACGCCTGATAGAATTCTTGTAGAACCACACGACGACCGTGACGAGACCAAGACGACCACAACCACCAGAACCACCAGCACGACCACGACGACACTGCAGCAGCCAACCCTAAACCCTAAGCCCTAAGTCACTGTCGGGCCCAAGTACTGGCGGATCCTAAAGCAAACCCAATAAGTGTTTTGGCCCAAGCAAAGCACTGGCGGCATTCAGAAGGACGTTCAAAACTATTCCACCCATATACTGGCGGGATTCAATAATTGTGAATGCATTGGGATTTGCAATGGATCTGGCTTTCGGGAGACACAGCCACACAGATCCTAGGTACGAGATAGATAATACGACATGAGCACAAATCGCGCACCGCACCACAGCGGGAGCCGTGTTTCGGGGGCGGCACGCCACTACCTTACCCAATCCTCTTTGCTCAAAATGATAGACCTCCGTATCTTTTAGTCTAGTGTGTACAATACTGTTTGGGGAATAGCCCAGTGACCTAACACGTAGGTAACTGGGCTTTTGTGGCGACATATATAAGCCCACAAAATGACGCCGTACTTGCATTGCTGCATATATCCCTCCCAAATTGACCCAGGAGCAAGTTCCATCGTGGAGTCCAGCCTGGCAGTGTCCTCCAAAGGCAGCGGAACAAAGGACCCTCTGTTGAGGGCTTTAGGGGATTTCGGGTTAGGGGTTTAACGTGTCTTGGTACAGGAGCTAGGATCCTTGGTTAATATAGGGGCCTTAATAATTAGAATAGTGTTTTGGGCCCATTATACTATAGTTATAATAAGGAACCCTGAAAAAAGTATAGGTAAGTCTTTCTAGGCCCCTACATTAGGGCTTACAGGCTTGGGGTTTGTAGGGAGGCAGGGGTTTAAAGCTCTCACGGGTTAGGGCTCGTCGGCTTCGGGAGTGTGCAGGGCTCTAGTCTACTTGGAGGATCATGGGACTTAGTAAGTAAGGTTATAAGTCCCTTAATTGGGGTTATAAGTAAATATAAGTATAGTTACCTTAATTACAACCCTACTTACTAAGTCCCATGATCCTTTAAGTAGGGTCTTCAGAGGGTATCCTCCAAGGGCACGCCAGAAAGAAGGAGCCTCTGCCGAAACCGTGGAGGTAAGCCATGCAGCTGATTCAGGCGCAGCTTCAAGCTCTTCACGTCGTGGATCTCCTCCACAGCTATGGACGTCACCATCTCTCCGGAAAGCATTCTGACCTGCAACATCTTGTCGACAACTTCGGAATGGCAGGAACGACAAGGAGCGGAATGTTAGACATATATACCACCTGGTGAGCCAGACTGTCGTGCTGTGCATAGCAACATGTCAAAGCCGGCTATCTACCCGCAATCCCTGGGCCCTTCCCGAAGCCCCAAACGGTAAACCGATATCTTGTTTCTAGATCCCCTAAACCCATACGGCTAAAGCGTACTCCCTAAACCAAAAACCCCAAAACCCTACCTAAAACCTAAAACCTAAACCCAAAACCCTAAACCCCATACCCTAAACCCTAAACCCCCAAACCCAAAGCCCTAAACCCTAAACCGCCAAAACCCAACCCCGGAGCTTCCTTCTCGAATTAACCCAAAGATGCAGGTTTCTGTCAGTCTTCAGGATTCGGGGTACTTGGAGGATCAAGGGACTTAGTAAGTAAGATTATAAGTCCCTTAATTGGGGTTGCAAGTAAATATAAGTATGGTTACCTTAATCATAACCCTACTTATATACTAAGTCTCATGATCCTTATAGTAGTGGGCTTCCTAAGGACTAAAGTTTCCGAGCATCCTAAATTTTAGGATTTGGGGCAGATGGCTTTAAAGGGGATAGATTTAAGAGTGCAAGGCTTGGGGTTATAGTGTCCGGGGGCTTGAAAGTCCTGGAGCTTTGGGTTTCAGTGTTTTTGCACTTAGGGCGACTTTGAAGGGTTTAGGATCCTGAAATCCCTACCGCAGGGGCCAGCAGCTTGTAATGTCATGCCAAGTCAGGACGTCTCGTATACCGGCCTATGCTGATCTTACGCATCCAAATGTCAAAGCGATTGAACGAAAGGGCGTCTATTCATCAGCCAGGGTACTCGTCGAAAGGTGCTTTGCTGGTGGCAAGCTTGACACGGAACAACGCCAGTAAGAACCTTGCTGCCGAGCGGTTCCCTAACCGCCCAGGTACCTACTATATAGGGTACTAGAGGCTCTAGGGCCCTATATAATAGTAGGTACCCGACCCTAAACCCTAAACCCTAAACCCAGGTTAGGGGGTTGAGTGCGCCCTAAATCTGCACCCTAAACCGTCGCTTTGGGGTGCAGGACCTGACTGGCAGAGGCTCGGTTGAAACAGGTTCAGGGCTTAGGGTTTAGGGTTACGTGGGAATCAGCAGCAGCTCAGGAGGTTCTGGAAGGAAGGTGCGCAAGTGAGTCGAGAGGAGTTTGGGCTGAACTACCATATCTGGCAAAAAAATGTAAGAACAATGCCACTTCTATCAAGTACGAAAGTACTGACAATCGAAGACTGGGGATGAGAAGGGTGTGAACAAGATGTTTTGGCTCCAGGATGCCAAACCCTCACGCACACTAAACCCTAAACGGTAGCCGTAGACCCTAAACCCTCAACCCTAAACCCCTCAACCCTCAACCCTAACCCCACAACCCTAAACCCGAAACCCCTCAACCCTCAACCCCTCAACCCTAAACCCTAAACCCCCCAACCCTAAACCCAAAACCCCTAAACCCTAAACCCAAAAACCTAAACCCCTCAACCCTAAACCCAAAAGTGTATACAAAGCTTACGACACGAAAGTGCTATAGACCTAGATCCGACAAGCCAAATTTAGATAGGGGCCTTAGAATCATTTCTAATAGGTTTAAAGTTTAGGGTTTTGGGGTTTAGGGTTTAGGGTTTTGGGGTTCAGGGTTTAGGGTATTGGGGTTTAGGGTTTTGGGTTTAGGGTTTTGGGTTTATGGTTTTGGGGTATATTATACTATAAGCAGTATAAGGAGCCCAAACGAATAGTTTTGCTATTCATTCTACACATGTCTATATGGAATCCGAAAGCCCTCAACCGAAAACCGTCTCGGTCCTAGACCTGCAGTCTTGGGTTGCTAGGTGGGTTTAAGGTTTAAGGGTTGAAGGTTTAGGCTTAGGGTTTAGGTCGTATGGTGTAGGGTTTAGGGTGTAGCAAGCAAGGTTTAGGGTTTGGGGGGTAGGGTTTGCCTACCCCAAGAATCCCTAAACCCAACCTTCACTCCAAGCTGCTGAAAGGCTTACACCCTCATTGCTTGATCCGGTATACACCACCCTAAACCCTAAACCCTAAACCCTAAACCCTGAATCCCAAAGTCCGAGCACTGTTAGGTCTCGGGCTTGCTTTTCAGACGAAAGTAGCGTTTAGGGTTTAGTTCTCAGGGTCTAGGCATGGTAGTGGGTGTAGGGTTTAGGGTTTA